CCCCAAAACCCCAAAACCCCAAAACCCCAAAACCCCAAAACCCCTTTGGAGTTTATTATTATTGAAATATAATATGGAAAATGCAAGTTCGATAGTGGTCTTCTGGGAAGCCATTTCGTTTACTATTGCGGTATTCGTTGTTGTTATCTCCATCCTCAAGGTAGTCAGGATTTATCGTAAAGGGAGAATTGATATATTTGATCTCGCGAGATATATAAACATGATACTTCATTTCTCTATGGCCCTGGTGGTCTTTGTGTCTGATGCCTCTTTACAAGAAAACAACATCCCCTATTCCTTACTTTATTGGTACATGTTCGATGTAAATATTTATTGCTTTGTCCTTCTGAATTTTACTCTATGGGTGATTCTTCTGTCACATATACATCTTTATTCTAAACTAAGACAAGGGATGCCTTATACCACTATTCTGAAGAGATTGAAGATAATAGAAAAAATTGCTGTAAGTTTGCTCATACTCGTCCATCTCGTGCTATTTATGACCATAGTATCTATTTGAATTTTTGATGCAACTAATGGGTGAGAATGCTTGTACTGCCAGCGAGAGAGGCCTCCTGTGCTCTCTTTTATCTGAGAGATCTCGAACAAACTGCAGTCATTCCTGTATTACTCCAAATGTGCCTTCTACAGTACCTTCTTTTTCCTAACTTTTGTACTGTCTATTGTTTACCTCTATTCGCTCAGGAAGCACCTGAATTTTTATTATAAGCAAGTAAAGAACATGTTGGTTTTTCTCTCCTTGCTAAGCTTGATCTATTTCGGACTTGAAGCTAGCCAAGATATTGTGGAGTTAAAGATCAAAATGAGCTTATCAGAGAGGCTGAGGCCTAAATAATGATGATACTCTTACTCCTAATGAGAGGTTCTGGCATTTCTGTGTGAATAGCGTGCTCCAGCTGGTCTTCCTAGCTTACATTATTCTCAGCATGAAGTTGTTCAGTTTTCATAGATACTTGAACAATATCTTCAGAGGCTTTGGAGTGGAAGCAGACTTTAAGGAAGCATCTATCTTTATTTACAGATATCACAGAAGAGTAGCCAGGGATCACCTTCAGAATAGAAGAGATGCAGAGGAATCTACTTGAGAAGATGTCAAAAATGAGATCAGTAAGTCCTCAATTAATCTCATAAATCTAACGTTCCAAGATAGGATGGAGAATATGGAAACCCATCTGCTCATCGGTAGTGGTAGCACAGCTTCAGAACATAGTGAGAACTACATGAGCGAATATCAGAAGATCTTGAAGTTTGAGCGTGAGAATAGTCGTGTTAATACTAATCCTAATAACTCAACGAGAATTGGAAACCCATAAGCTTTTGTTAACTCCCATTTAGACCTAATTTTGGTTACTCAATATGATGGTTTTGGCCAGGGGTTTTGGGGTTTTGGGGTTTTGGGG